CATGTGTGTGTGTGTCCCTTGTGTGTGTGTGTGTGTGTGTGTCTCCTTTTCTCCCTCTCTCCCTCACTCTTTTCTTTCCTCTCTCTTTCCCTCTTTCTCTGGACCTCTCTCTCATGGGGCAACCTCTTAAAAACACTTTTTTTGATGTCTGACTGCAGAAGTCCTGTCTCATCAAAGGTCAGAGCTCCATGAACATGTCTGTAAGACAGAGAATCTGACACCTCACAGTGTCTTTGTGAAGATAAAATCAGGGCCCAGCCAACCGCATCCTTAGGGCTGAAGGCAGCTGTGGTCTGCTTTTTTTTATAGCCACAAATAAAATGGACTTTCTATTTTAGATCCCTGTGAAAGTAAAGCAACAATTCAATGGACAGTTTTGTTTGTTAGTTTGTGGTTGTTGTTGTATAAAAAAACAAAGAAAAAATAATCTCTAAACTGAAAATATTGCCTGTGTGGTCCTTTGTAGAAAAAGTCAGCAGATCTCTGTTTAAGGAGGATTTTTTTTTTAATTTATTTAATTAAGAAACACATGGAAAAGCTGGAAATTTTACTCCCAAGCCAGGGAACTTTCTGGAAGTCATTTCATGGTCAGAGAAATGTTAAATAAGTATAGCATATGGACAGAAAAGTTGTAAGATTTCTACACTATGTGAACATTATTCTTTGGCTGCCTCTCCATGTTAGTCCCACCTTTCTGCAAGTGTGAAGTGGTTTCAGGCCAGCCTTCTAGCCACTGCAGCAGCCTGCTGCTCTCTCTTGTGTCCTGGAATGATCTTTGCTGTCTGGTGTCCCTGCTGAGATGAGATCAGGCCTCACCAGAGTGGCCTCATTTGAATTTGTCTCTAAAGGTGTCACATTCTGAGGTAATAAGGATGAGGGCTTCAACATATGAATTTTAAGACCACAAGTCACCTTAGTGTGCTCTTGGCAAATGAGATTAGAATTTACCAGTGTGGTTCCTTACTTTACAAAAAATAACCAATATCACCTTTGGTAGATTGTTTGCCTTGTAAGCATGAAGAGTTCAGTTCCCCGGTACCCATGTTGACTACAACTAAACTAACCACAAACAAATCTGGATGTGATGGCACAGTCATGCTGTCCCAGTGCTGGAGATGCACAGACCAGAAGGTCCTCAAAACAGCCAGCCAAGCTACTAGGAAAAGTTCTGGGTCAGTGAGCAATCCTGTCTCAAAGTCCAAGGTGGACAGCAACTGAGAGCGGCAGCTGAGGTTGCCCTGTGGCCTCCATGAACACACACACACACACACACACACACACAGGCACACACACACACAGGCACACACACACACACAGGCACACACACACACACACACACACACACACACACACACACACACATGTGAACGTACCTAAACCCCTCCCTTACTAAGAGCTGCCATTATCGCATCACTGTGGAGTCAGGCTTGTCCGATTTTAGTGATGTTTATTGATAGAGCCTCGATCTGTAGCCCAGGATGTCCTTACACTTGCAGTCCTCACTGCTTTAATGTCCCAGTGCTAGGACTGCAGGTATAAACTATCAAACTCTGCACTAGGAACTATGAGGTGGCTGTTTCTTCCAGGTTGGATGTAACTGCTGCCATCTTGAAGCAGGTCAGCTGTGGTGATCTACCCAAGACCCTTGAGACCAGGCCTGCCAACATCCCTTCTAGAAGAGGAGAGGATCTTGAGACTCCCAAGGCCTTTACAATCCTTGTGAGGGCCTTCACAAAGGCCCAATCACACTCTGGAAGGTGAACAGCTGGGGTAGCAATTTGATGGGATAGCTGTCCGTAAACCACTTAGTGGGCTTTTTTGCTGCTATGAATCATTCATGCTCCTATTAATAACCCCAAATAAGTCCTTTGCCTAGCCTGGAACTTGCTGTAGTGACCAGGTTGGCCTTGAACTCACAGAGGTCCTCCAGGGTGTTGGGATTAAAGGTGAATGCAGCCACATTTGGCCAGAAAACATTCTTGGATCTGTTTGAGGTGAATAGATGTGGTTTTGGTGTTTTGTTTTACATTTCCCAGAAAATGCAAAGCAACAGGGCCTTTAAATGGTACATTTCTGTACCTTTCTATGGCAGAAACACTCATTGCAACCCGGAGAGCCAAACTCTCTTGCATTTTCAAGCCTCATAGTCAAAGACAAGACCCAAAGCCCAGTTCAAGATTTATGATTTGACCCTTGAAGAGAACCAACCAGATGGTGGGAACTTGCTTGCTCTCCCCTCCTGTGGAAGAACTGTGGTTAAGCACACACACATACCCGAGAAAGAGAGATAAATGGGGGGGGGGAGACAGACAGACACACACAATTTCATATGATGTATATTTTGATTATATTTTTCCCTCTCCAGATCGATCTTCACTTCCCTACCTGCCCAATTCCATATCCTCTTTTAAGAATATATTCTTTTAAAATAACCTACTGAGTACAGTTTGTGCTGTATTTCTGGGTATGGGGCCATCCATTGGACCTACAAGGAGCCATACCCTTAAAGAAAACAGACTCTCCCTCCCCAACAACCTACCGGTTGTCTACAGTTCCTCAGGATAGGCTTGCAGGCCCCTTACACTCCATGCTGTCTTGACTGCCACAGGCTTGACCCCATGCAGGCCACCACAGCTGCCACAGCTCATGAGTGCAGAGGTCCAGCCGCGTTGAGAAGACAATGCCTCGCGCCCTTTGTCTCCAACCTCTGGCTTCCACAGTAATTCACTCACCTCTGATGGTCTTTCAGTGAGTTTCATTAAAATTTGTGTAGAAAACAAACGTTTACTGAGAAAATCATTAGGATTTGGGGTGTTGTATGTTATGCAAGTGGAGCCCAAAGGGTCTCACCCATGGGCTGCTGCTCATGGGGAGGGTACTGTTGAACCTCTCTGCCCAATTCTGGATGAAAAGTTTGTTCCCAATACAGGACTCCACCTGCCCCTTTGTCAGCTGTCTATGGGGTGACATCTAGAAAAACCTGGTTTTGTTATTGCATAAAGCATAAATATGAGTTAAGAGTTAAGGCCTTCGCTTTCAACATAGGCCATCTTCTCAGCAGGAACTGCAAGCAGCCCTGACCTGGAAGCCAGCCGACATCATTTCTTTCTTCGCCTGTAAATCTGTTTCCTGGTGGTTTCTCTGTCATGTACTGTCTTTCATCATAAGCTGCTTAACTCCAGTTGGTCCCATGGTTCTCTCTGTAGCTCACTGGTCTATGACCCCAGATGGGATGCCCCCAGATATCTCATTGCATGAGCACCAGCTCAGATGAGGTATCTGCGGAATCCTCCCCACTGTTGCTGCAAACCTAGCCACCCTCCCCACTGCTGCTGCATGCCTGGCCACCTTCCCCCACTGCTGCTGCATGCCTACGTACATCCTAGAACACAGTGCCCTAAAAATGTGTCCATAGTAAAGAAGCATAAACATGTACCCCATTTGTCTGTGGCAGCAGATGTCTGAGGAGCTCCCTTGAGCAAAGAGCTGCCACAGATAATACACTTATTCACCACTCAGGAAAAACACTCCTTCCATTGAAAAGCGATGACATTACATTGAGCCAGCTCCCAGCCCTGCTCTGAATTATTCTCAGTGTGTTTGTGGCACAGAGACTCATACACAGAAAACAAATACAGTAACCAAGAGGCTTTCCAGACCCTGGGAAAAAAAAGCCACTCTTGCATTCTTTCGGAATCTGTCACACTTTGTGATGTATCTCTGTGAAATGTTCTATGGATTTAGTCTCACAAACTCCAGTAGATAACAATGAGTTCCTATTTACATCAGATTTACTGAAGAAAACCAGAAAGTGCAAAAAAGGAAGTGGTCTATGGATAACCAGAGTTGGGTAGCAGAGAGGACTCTACTTAACAATCTGCAGGTTCTTGAGAAGCTAGCCACTTTGAGGATGACTCAAGGTTGCAGAGATGGGCCTCCCTGGAGCCTTGGAAGTGCCTGCTGCAGTGACAGCTCCATTGGCCCTCAACTTTCCTCTAAGCCCAAGGCACCCAGGTCACCCAGGGATTCTGGGGTGTCATCCTTTAAAGGGATGGGGTAGCATGTCTATAATCCTATCAAGCAGAAGGTTGACTCAGGAGGACTGTGACTTCAAGGTCAGCCTAGGCTACATAGTAAGACCTTATCTAAACAACAAAGCAAAACACAGAGATAGTTGGGTATGGTGGTTGTACATACATGTGTTCTCAGCACTCAGAAGGCTGAGGCAGGAGGTATGACTTCATTGTAAGCGTGGACTACATGAGACCTTGAATAAAAAGAGGAGTAGAGAAGGGAGAGGAGGAAGAAGGGGAGGAGTGTAGGAAGAGAAGGAAGAAAGGAGGAAGAGGGGGAGGAAGAGGAGGAGGGAGAAGAGGAGGAAAGGGGAGGAAGGAGAGAGGAAGAGAAGAAGGAGGAGAGGAGGGGGTTGGATCACAGAATCTCAGGTTCCTCCCGCCTCTGAAATGTTGTGGTTCTTACAAATAAAACATCAAACTCCCAGCTGCTCCTTTATCTCTCTTGTCAGAGAGAGCCTGCATGGTGGGAACAGGGGCTCTGCCATGCGACCTGCTGAGCCTGTAGTCCCCATGGGAAAGGGGCACAGGAGTTAAGGAGGGTGACACCTATAGAAACACATTCTGTGAGCAACTGACTGGTGTTACACTCAGGAAAATCCAATACTCCTGCCCCACCAGATATCCACCCCTTTCCCTGACCCACAACCTAAAACTCAAGGGCACTCCAGAAGCAGGACTCACGGACATCCCTGTCTGGTTCTCCTTGGGAAATCCTGACCCTTAAATGTGAGAAGACACTGAGCCATGCTGAGATGCCACACAGCCCACAGCCACATAGCCCTCTGTAAATGCCCACAGCAGGTGAAATTAACCAGGAGCTCCCAAGCCCCCATTTGTATCTGTGCCAAGAGTTTTTAAGTTGACAATGGTACCCTGTAACTCACACTCAATGTTTTAAGATTCATCAATAAACAAAGCAGCAGCCATAGTGAGGAAAAAGTGTATTTCACAGCCATTATAAAAGTACATATATTCAATAGTGGTGACATAAATATAGTCCTTACTCATGACCAAATCGTATGACTAAAATAGACTCTTCCTCCTGGACTTCACATGATGACAGATCGGTCATTCCCATCAGTAGCCACAGGCTGACTAGAATCACAGGCAAAGATTCATTCATGAAGGACAGTCATGGGCCAAACAGACAATACACTCTGCACTTAACAAGAGGACAGTCAGGTTTTCCATATAAATACAATAAAACAATAAAGAATTTAACATTTTTTCTTTCACTCGGTTTCCTAGACTTGTCTGTCAGGTCTTTATGTGCACCCCAAAACACAGCTTGTCTCCCCTCCTGCTCTCACTTGTCTCTCAATGGGTCCACTACCCATTGAGTACTCAGATGGGTAACCAGAGTTCTGAGTCCACGTTACCAGAGGCAATGCAGACAACTAGTTGTACATCTGACGCTGTTCTCTTAGCATTCGAAGAACGGGAAACCCTTTCTCCACGAGCTAACACCAGCACAGGCACACATACATGTGAGGAAAGCAAACAGCCAGAAAAAGACATAAGGGGCTACGAGAAAGGGGGGTGGGGCACAGCACACAGGTACATATCCTACCGGCTTGTGGAGCCGGATACCTGCAGTTGGCAGTTATTTTTAAAATCGACTCTTTACTCATCAAAACTCAAACATATCACGTCAAATAGAGAGTGTCTGTAGATGATTCTCCTCTTCTCTCTGCTTAAAGAGTTCTATTTTCAGTGGTAATCCTGGAAGCTGAGCTGAAGCCATGCTGAATGAAGACCACCACCAGCTGATGAGAGAGAAGACTGGCCTCCTCCTAATGGGTCCTTGGGAAGGAGTCAGTCCCTCCTTAGAGTTTAAGTAGTCCAGGTCTTACCAAATTCAGCCAAGAGCAATTTTCTTCCAGGGTCAGCCAAATGTATGTTCTCTTCTTGTCCAGTCGGAGCTGCGAGAGGCCAAAGGAAGCCACCACTGGTAAATGAGACATGGTTGATGCTGCGTCTCATTCCTCACTGGCAAAGGCCGGCTTTGTGATTTCACATAAATTTGTCCACTTTAGAATCAATGGACCAAAACGATGAACCTGGCTTCATGGCTACAGCTATGGTCTCTGATCACATCTGAAATAGTCAAATACCGAAGATTCTGGGCTGTTCCATAACTCATCTCCTAAACTAGCTGTGGTCCAACCGTGCCAAGTCTTCCCCTCCTGATAACGGCACTCAGTGTCCTCTGCTGAGTACCAGGGCCCAGGATGCACACAGAGACAGTTCTCCATCAAACGCCAGCTGGACATGATCAAGACAACACCAGGGTCCACAAAAGACACACAGGGGTGGCACAGTCACAAAACCAGAAATGCATCTTTGGTTCAATCCTGGAGGGGAAGGTGCAGAATACAGTGTGGACTGAAAGCCTGTTTGGGGGACACTGTTTTCCTTGGGGATGAACCTGTCTGTGAGCTTGTCCCAGGGAGCAAGCATGCTCCTAGCTCCCAGCAGAACAGCTAAGTTCTAACCTCGGCAGAACAGCATGGCACAGCAAGTTCCCTCTTTCTTGCCATCTCAACTCTGCCTTAAGAATCCTTTCTTTTTCACCAGAACCATCTGGAGCTAAGTTCTATGCCTTCAGCTGCTGCCACAGTATAAACACAGGATGGCTAGGCTGCCATTCCTCAGGCAGTGTGGTTCAATGTTCCTCCCCTTACTTCCCAAGCCAGCTTTTTGGCCATCTGAGCTGCAGCCTCTCAGAAAAACAAACAAACAAACAACCCATGAATTTGGTAAAATTACTTTCCATCTGGCCACACAGTTTAAAAAAAAATGCTATTTTGAGCCAGACACGGGGTATACACTTGTAATCCCAGCACTTTGGAGGCTGAGGCAGGAGGATCATGAGTTTGAAGCCAGCCTGGGCTACTTAATGAGACTCTGTCTTAAAAAAAAAAAGTTACTTAAATTTAATGATTTCATATAAAGAAAGATCTCTTTGGACAAGTTCATTCAATCCTCATCAAGTTTCAACCCAAAAAGGGGGAGGGGAGGCAGGGAAAGAAAGAGAGAAAAGAAAAATCTGTCCAAACATTGCACAGGAATGAGAGTTTGCTTGAATCTTCACCTCCCTCCTGGGTTCTCCCTGTTGGGCTCCATCTCTGTCTGAGGTGCCATCCCATCTTCTGGGTCCATCACTGTGACTCACCACTCTGCTTTCCTGTAGGGGATCTTAGGGGAAGAGGACTTGCTTCCCTCTGCGGGGGGATCCCTAGGGTGGGTGAACATCCTTACAATGAGTGGTGTGGTCCTCGTGAGACTATAACTGACCACTGAACAGAGCAGTCTGTGAGAGGCATATAGCGAGCAGAGGCAGGCAAGGCCTAGTACCAGTCTGGAAATCTGAGTGGTCCAGCAGGTGGAGGTGTGTTTTTTTAGCCCTGAGCCCCACTGGGGATACTGAAGAGGGCTCAGTGATTAGTGGTAGCAAAGAGAATCTCAGGCTGGAATGTGTGATTCCCACAGCCCCCCACCCCCATCCCCGGAGTCCCAGCATCTCAGAGGGTCCCTAAGTGAGTGTATGGACATTGAGTCTGTGAATCTTAGCTGATGTAAGCGTGGGACACCGTGTACCAGGAATAAAGGATGCTCTTGTGAGGCTGTTCACTCATTCCCTGGTGCACGTGTGGTGCTCTGTTCCACAGCTGTCCTCACAGAGACCCAGAATCTTGCCATCCCAGGTTAACACTGGCCCTTGACACCGTCGGCCATGTCAAAGGAGAGGCTGGAAGGTGCTGTGGGCTGCAGAGGGGACATGCTGGCCTCCAGGGACCTCTCTGAGGAAGGCTGCAGGCTCTGGTGTCGCTTCCTGAGCATCTGTCCGATGCCCATCATGGGGAACCGTCCCCTGCTTTTCACACAGTTGGGGCTTCCCAGAGGCTGCAGGAGGCCATTGCTGGGAACTGGAGGTGGTGAACACACACCCTCCTCTTTTGGGGGGCTGTTCTTTTCTTCGTGGGCAAAAGAGACCAGCGTGGAATGCAGTGGAGTTTGGAGAGGTGATGTGCTTCCAGACAGCAGCCCCGGGGAGAGTGTCCTCTCACTAGAATTCCTGCGAGCCAGGCTCACAGGTGAGCTCAGGATCCTATAATGGTGGGAAGGGGACAGAAGTTCTATGTGGTCCTCTCGATCCACGGACTCAAAGGATCGTACCATATCCAGCAGCAGGGGCTCTTCCTTGGGGAGGATGCTGGCACTTCCTGGCCCTGGCTGGTGTGGCTCTAGTTTCTTTACAATCCTTGGTGTCCTGGGAGGTGGGACAGGGATGAATTCCATGGAAGACGAAGCCACACAGTTGGAATCAGAAGTTTTTCGGAAAAGGTTGCGGCAGCCAAAGGAATCTAGATACCAAGGAAACAAGACCATGAAAATAGGTTCGGAAAGAGCGTACACAGCCATTGTGCTCATGCCCCACCCACCAGCTTAACTGAGACAGCAAACCCATGCAAGGCTGGAGGAAGCAAACAGTGTTGGCTAGTTAGAGGAAGGATCAGCCAGAGCATCTGAGGCCCCACAGAACCTCACAAGTCTTTCTAGGGTATAGGAGGCACCAGGCTAGTCCAATTCAACAGCTATTCCCCTTTGGTAACTGAAAATCCTGGACACTTTGAATAGAGAGGCTTGCCTGCTCAACAGAACGTCCACTATAGACTAAAATGTGCAGAGTCTGACTTACTGAAAACCCATATATCTGGTCTTCTGACTGCTAATTATGGAAAGACTTGTGTCCCTCAGACATTTTCTTACAACTTTATCATGGTAAAAAAAAAAGCAACAGAAAGTTTACTAGCTCAGTTTCTTTCAGTCTATAGTTTGGCAAAGACACACAGCTATTTCATCCCGCAGAAATAATGCTACCATTGAAGACTCATCTGTTCTGTCAGTGCTGACATTGAAGACTCATCCGTTCTGTCTTGTTTCCCTACACTCTGACAACCCCATTCCACCTGCAGCCCCATGAACTTGGCCACTCTAGGAACGTACATAGTCTCGTACAATATCTGAACTTTGAAGATTGGCTCATCCCCTTAGTGCAAAAGCTTCCAGACCATTCAGGCTGTAGGTGCACCCCCCCCTTTTCCAAGCCTCCCTTGTGGCGTTAAACTCAAGGCAGCCTCGTCAACTTCAAACAGAACTGGGTAGCAAAGGCAACTAGCCAATGGCTAGACTTTGCATCTTGAGTTGGCATCTGGGTTTGTAAACTGTACCAGGAAAGAGAGGGAAACCTCCTAGAGGCTCGACACTTGGGGGAAAGAAAGCCACATTCATGAAGAATAAGCTCTGTCTCAGGGTCTTTTCACTGAGTAACATCTTATGGCCTAGATGCAGGAGCAAGCTGCCTCCCAGTGGGAACGGCTTTGGGAGCAGGCGAGGGCTCAGAGAATCTTCCTTCCCCACATAAATAAATACTCAGATGAGGAGATAAGTCTCCTCAGGCAGCAGATGCCTGGGAAGTGACAGCGGGAAGATGTAGGATTTCATTAATAGCTAATCTCGCCAGTGATCCGGCTGACGCACAAGCTTCGCCTCTCTCTTCTTAGGTCTGCTATGTTCTGTGCACCAAGCCAGGCTGCTCTGGGACAGAAGGGCTAGTAGCTGCTGTCCCACAGTCTCACTAAGCAAAGCGACAAGTCTGAGTTGACCTCAGATACCCACAACCCTCCCTAAGCCTCAGGGTCAGATGCTTTGACCTCTATAAATAAATAATAAAGCCTCTGTAACCAAGCTATATAAAGAGAGCACCCCTGCCTCAAGATTTCACGTTATGACACCCCCCAGCTTCCATGTCTCCTTCCCAGGGGGTTTCTCTCATGCACCTGTGCCATCCAATGATCACATGGATCATGAATCAACAAGGAAATGGATTCTGAATCAGGACACAGTGGGTTTACTTAGTAACTCAGCCAGTGGCTATTACAACTAAGGGACTCAAGGGAAGACCACTGGTCCACACCAAACAGCAAAGCTGGGACTTGAACTCGGTCGAGGAATCATACCACTACTCCAGAACCCAGACACAGTCATACTTGAATGCCCCACGGGGTCATGTTTCTAGGAATAGCTCCAGTAAGTCCATACCCCAGTGCCTGCTTTTACCTCCACCTTCCACTCTTATCCATGTACTCCATTGATCCCTGTAATCTCGTGTACTCATCCTAGCCCAGAATGCAGTGTGTGCCTGTCTCTCGGGCTACACATCTCCCTCTATTCCTACGCCCAACCTGCTTCTGTGATACCTTATACCCTGGCCTCCAGTCCCATAATACCATGCATGCAAACCTCTGCTCCTGCATGCCATGGACCCCCAACTCTCATACCACAATTATCTATCTGGTCACTGTTCCTACAGTACCATGTATCCCAGCCTCTGCTCCTACAACACTTTCTGTTCTAATTTCTGCCTCTATAGCTCTTTATACTTCAACTCTTCTTCCATAGTCCTGAGCACCCTGATGGCCTCCTGCTGCGTCTGTGTCTGCACCTTCAACAATAGGTACCTGCAGCACTATGCACCCTGATCTGTTTTCATTATACCGTATGCCCACCTCTGTCTTCTCAACTCCTGCACAGATGGTCCACCCTACTGCTTGGCCTGAGCCCCTTGGCCTTAGATGTACCAATGATATCTTTCCAGAGGCACAGTTGCCTCTGTCCTGAGCCCACCCAGCCACCCGCACGCAGCAAGCGGGACAGTGGAGCTAACCCACCTTTGTCGGGGAAGCCTGACTTGGAGACCTTCCGGTCTTTGAGCAGGGCTTTGGTATTCTGGATCTGTGTGATCAGTGAGGGTGACGGCTGTTTGTGAGAAGGCAGGTTCTTATCCAACTTCTTGGAAAACGGGCGATGAAGAAAATCACTTCTTTTTTCTTGTTCTTTGGGCTTTTTATCCTTCAAAACAAAGTGAACATACCTATTCAGACATCCACTAGAATATACTCAAGGATTCGTCTCTGAAAAACTCATCCAAAGAGATGAAAGGAACTCATCTTTTAAATGTTGTATACTTACCAGTGTGTGGACTGAGGGAAGGCTGAGGCCTACCCTGTGCTCCAAAGAGCCAACTCCCTCTGCCCAGGAGCAAGCAAACCTGGATTCTCTCTAGCTCCCTTACACTGCACTGTGTTAATATGTTCTGGAGTGGTCAAGGCCACACTATCTGATCAGGTATTCTGGAAAAATCTGAAAGAACTAAGGAACAAACAATCCAGAGTTTTAAAGACCTACTGTGTGCGTTTGAAGTATTGCCATGGTTAGGCATGGTGGTGCAGACCTATAATTTCATTATTCTGAGGCTGGACAAAGAGTTTTTCAGGTTCAAGGCCAGCCTGACCTACATAGTGAGACCTGGCTGGGGTTAATCTTAACCTTCAACTTGTCTGGATTGAGCAACATGTAGGGGCAATAAAGAGACCCCTCCTGGGGGTGTCTATCAGGGCAAATCCTGAGGCCCCGCTCATGAGTGTGCTGACCTTATCTGTTGATGGCTTCAAAACTAGAACGGACAGTTAGGGAAGAAGTGAAATTTAGGAAGGCGGGGCTTGGTTGAAAGAAAGGACACTGTGTGTGTTATTGGCAGTTGTATTTTGCCTTGGCTTCTTTCCTAATATTCTATTTACTTCCATCTGCCATGATACGACCAGCTCTGCTCTGCTCTGCCCTTACCCCTATGGTCTGAAAACTCTGAAATCAGAAGCAAAATAATTTGTCCTATAAGTTTTTTTTTTCCAGAGAGATAGTACAACAATGAAAAATTCCAAATAGACCATGTCTCAGAATACTAAATCCATCCATCCATCCATCCGTCCGTCCATCCGTCCGTCCATCCATCCGTCCATCCATCCGTCCATCCATCCATCCATCCATCCGTCTACCCATCCATCCATCCATCCATCCATCCATCACCAAGTGGTACCCTGAGATCCTAACTGCAACAAAGACTTGGCAACACAAACATAGCTGCTTTCATTTAACAGGAGACCCAGCATGTTTAGTCTAAACCCTACAGAGCCAGAGAAGTCCTGGTACGTTTCTAAACATTTCTACTGTGTAAGCATGGGAGCATTTATCTATAGATCTAAAACTCGCATGGATATTGTCATTTTTTAACCTATAGATTTTATCTTTATAGAACCAGATCTTAATCCCTCTAATGGGAGTGGACTTTACTGTTTGACTTGCCTTCAACCCCACAGCCTCTGGCATCGAGCCAGGTACTTAGAACGAGCATTATAAACAGCTATTGGGAGGGACTGATTAAAATTAACTGAGTTCAAGTTTCTGGGAATGGTGGAGCCACTAAGCAACTGCAGAAGGAGAAATTCTTTCTCTGGCCATGATGACAACACTGATATTTACTGTTAAGCACGGGCAAGGCATCCCTGATCTCGCCCAGGGTGAGGGAAAGGCAGCTTTCCACATTGTTTTGCCTTCAAGTTGAAGAGGATTTGCAATTTGAGGGAGCTCATCAATTTTTCATTTATGTGCTGAAGAGCTTTGCAAGGAAGTGTCTCTTTGTACTTCACCAAAGTGCCCTTCCCAGGATGCCCAGGACCTTTGCCGAAAACTCATTATGAGTGGGTCACCGATGGGAAAGAATGGCTAGGAGAGATCTGAAGTGAGGATGCTGGGTCCTCAGTACCACTCCCAGGGGAGGAAGCTCCTGGGAGATATAACCCTTAACCATCGAGGTGGTGAGAAGTAAGGAGAGTAGCTCACACAGTTACTATAAGCTCCTTCCTCAGCTGCCAACACACGGTCCCTTCCACCACACTATGATGCAGCAAAAAGGCCCTCCTTTCCCAGACATGGCATCAAGTCCTTGGACTTCCTAGCATCCAGAAATGTAAGAAATAAACCTCTGTTGTTCATAAATTATCCAGTTTCAGACATTCTGTTGTAAGAACAGAAAATGTACTAAGATATCCAGAATGCTACGAAGTGTGTCCCAAGTGACTATGAAAAGGCTGGCAGGGGATAATCATAGGTCTCTACTGCTCTCTGCTCCTCTGTTTCCATGAAACACAAATGGTCCATTTTCTACCTTCTCTAAAGCAAAGGATAACAAGCTTTTAGAGCAAATGTACACACACACACACACACACACACACACAGAGCCACATAAATGTATACATAGACACAAATAGAACAACACACAGACAGAACACACACATATATACAGACAAACAGACAGACAGACAGAGCTATACAGTTAGACAGACAGAGCTACACAGATACACACATAGACCCAAACAGACACTCAGACACAGGCAGACACACACAAACACAGATGAGCAGATGGACACACACATACACACACAGATGAGCAGGTGGACACACACACACACACAGATGAGCAGATGGACACACACACACACACATACACACACACTACAGACCTCTATGGAGCATGAAAGAGGATATGGTAGGTTTGTCCTGAAAAGTCTGAAAGAACTTCTTCCTTTTTTCAATTTATTTTTTAATCTCTGTGTTCATCTGCAAAGTCATCATTTCTATCTGTTCATACCTCATATAGGATGAAAAATAAACCTAATGAGATATACTTTTGCAGTACACTTTAAAATAAAACTTGATTTTAAAAAAAGTTCAAATTGCATTTACCCCATTTTAAAATGAGAGGGGGGCAGCAAAGGCCCCTTCAGGCTGCTCTGTACCCCCAAGCACAGGAGAGCAGCCAGCAACTGTGGGGACCTACTGTGGCTCCTTTCCTGCCCCCCTTTGGGGGTTTCGATGGTTTAAGAATCAGATTATAAAAGCTCTAGGGTCGGTCTCCCCGCAGACTTAACTTAGTAGCAAGAAGTAGGTAAGATGTGTCTGCTGGAGAGAGAGGCCAAGGCTGCTGGCCTGTAAGAACAAGTTGTCCTGTGCTCAAGGAAAGAATACTTGGCAAGGAGGAGAGGGCCTCACTGTGTGAAGGGGAAACTGCCCACAGGCCCAGCACCTCCAGGTAGCCCTGCTAAAGGCAGCCTTGTTGGGCTTCTGTCCCAGCATGACCCAAAACCCCTCAGAACAAGAGTCTCCATAGAAACTTCATAGTAACTCTTTCCAGGGAGAAGTTAAGAGCTCAGTCTTCAACACTCCGTGAAGGGGGTGAACCTTGGGCCAGTTCATGTGGAAGTTCAGTGGTCCAAAGGAAATGTGTTTATTTAACCAGGAGATCCACTGCCCCAAACACGTGCCAACGATCACACGGCCAGACCTTTTTCATTTGCCTATTTTCTCCAAAAGAAATCCCCTAGGGACCAGCATGCTAACAATGTCTTATGTAACAGGAAGTAATCTTCAGAGGAAAAAAAAGCTGGTGCTCTGCCTTCTAAGGGCGTGTGCCCCACCCTCCAGAGCTGAGGCTGGCAGAGACCCGCTTCCCCTGATTCTCCTTGGTCAGTGGTTCCTAGCATCACTGAGGGCTAATTTCTAATGCTAAGAAATCCACCATCTTGACTCTAAGCATTTTTTCTTTTCAACCCACAGGAAAGTTTTATATCACCAAGTCAGACCAGAGAAGATCACATGAGGTGGATACAAGCAGCTGTGTGTGTGTGTGTGTGTGTGTGTATGTGTGTGTGTACACATGTGCGGGCCAGATAGACATCAGTTGATATCAGTTGCTGTTTTCAATCACTCTCTATTTTATTTACAGACTTAGTCTCTCATTGAGTTTGCAGAGCATAGGTCTGGCTGGGCTAACTAGCTACCTCTGGGGGTCCTCTGTCAGAATACTGAGGTTAAAGGTGGACTGCTATGCCCACCAGCTTTTATGTGGGTGCTAGAGATCTGAACTCAAGTTCTCAAACTATAGAACTAGTATATAAGGTACTAGTCCTGAGCCATTGTCACAGCCTCGCAAGCAGAATCTTGACCTCTGGTCCCCAATTGTACCTACCAGAGATATGTAAAACAGATACAAAAGTTTTTAATGTGGATCTAGAAAGGATGATTTACCATTCAGTGGAAGAAACCAACATCAACTGAGTGTTCAGGAACAGATGTGAATCCGCTCCAGCAGCCAACCTGAGGGGGAGGCCTGTTCCTTAAACTCTAAGCCCTGAGCTCCAGAAAGCTGGGTCCTTTTAGAGTCTCCCTCCCTGACTGTCCACGGAGGCATGGGAGTCACCAATGAACAACAGCCATGGTTATAGCTTGGCAGTTGAATCCATCCTTGGCTCTCTGCAACTTGCCGTGACCATGAGCAACTACCATTGCCTCCGGGGAAGAGTATCCCCTTCTTTAACCAGAAGTGTGCATCCCTCTCAGCTCCGCAAGCATAAGCAAGAATTTATCCTGCACCCACATGCTGATCAGGCAAACAGTCTGACTTAACAAGGACAGACCTCCTATCATGCCAGGGTGAAGGGGGAACTGCCCCTTAGGAAACTGACTTCCCTCCCAGACTGAGGGTGAACCTCACTGACTGAGGCCAGCTGAAGACGCTCTTGTCAGTGCATGAATTCTATCAAGAGAAGCTCACCAGGACCTTGACTGACAATCAAGGAGCTTCACCTGGCTTCCTTCAGCATCAGAGCCAGTTGCCCACCCCTCCCACCCCAGATGGCCAACATTTCCAGATGTCATTAGTCAGTTTGCATTGGTTCCTTTGTGCCTATCATGCTAGAGAAAGCCAGATTTGGCTGCAGAAAAAAAATAGCAACTGTAAGTGAGTTTATAAAAAAGAAGGGTTGGTTCCTAAATCAAACCATAGATCCAGGAGTAAAAGACAGAGAGACATAGTCAGCTCTGCACAGTAGGCACCAAGCTCATTTGAGGGAGAACCTGATCAGCTATCGACAGGATTCTGTGCTCCTCCATTCAGGATAAGGAAAGAAGGTTGCAGAGTTTGCTTCAGGGGAGACTGGCTGATACTCAGGATCACGTGACAGTTAACTCCATGTGTTAGCTTGGCTAGAGTGTAGTCAACACCAGTGTAAATGCTGCTGCAAAGGGTATGTTTAGAATCTTCAGCATCCACATCAGCTTAGGACAGCAGACGGTCCTCTGATGGGCTGTGTCTCATCCAATCAGTTGAAAGCCTTAAGAACAATCAGGCTTGGAGAGCTGGCTCCGTGCCTCGGACCGCTTGCTACCCAAAGCAGTAAGCACCAGGATCTGAGTTTGGATGCTAGCGATCATGTAACAAGCCAAGTGTGGTCTTATGCATACCCGTAAACCCTGGCATTTTGGGGAGCAGCAAGACAAGAGGATTACTGGGGCTTTCAGCCTATCTGAAAAACCAGATACAAGCTCAGGAAGAGACCCTGCCTCAAAAGAGTACGGCACAAAGTGATAGAAGAAGACACCCAGTGGACTCTTCTGGTCTCCTTCATTTCACATGTACATGTATATACACCATACACACAAGAATTAAAAAGATGGTTCTTTATCTGTCTGTCTGTCTATCTTTCTACCATATCTCTATTTTTATATGTGTATGAGAGAGAATGCATCTCTCTGGAGAGACTGCTAACCCATCAGAAATCCCCAAGTTCTTACCTGCACAGCATGGAATTCTAAGTCCCTTGTCCAGGTATCCAGAGAGGCCTGCAAAGAACACCAGTTCTCATCAATTCAAGAAGCTACATCTATCCCTTCTTCCCAGAACTCTACCCCACCATGGCTCCCTCCTAATAGAAAATTAATCATTTCATTGTTCTCAGAAAAGAATCTATTTGAATCGCAGTGTGGGGAGGGAGCAGATATCCTGACTCACATGCAGAGATCTTCGAGGCAACGTTATTGAACGCTAACGCTCAGAAGGGAGGCGTGCTCTCCCGACAAAGCAGCAGTTCAACGTGACTCTCCAACAGTGCTGACACCCCTGGACACAGCACTCATATCAAGAACCAGATCCCACCCAACACCTGAGAGGCTCTCCTCAGACTTTTTCCCAGCTCAAACTCTCTTTCTAATTTATTAATTAAACTTTGCTTGTTAATTACATGTACGGAGGCACACCGCGGTACGCATGTGGAGGTCAGAGGACCCCTTGTAAGTCTGGATCCTTCCTTCCACCACATGGGTCCTAAGGAGCAAAATGTGGTCCTCCAGTGGCAAGTGCCTTTACCTGCTGGGCCACATCCTGCTGGCTCTTCTCCCAGCCTCTCTGTCCCCAGTGTAGCTATCATTCTGATCGCCAGAAGCACAAACTGCTTGACCTGACCCTGCATTCTCTTTCCCTTTGTTATTTAAAAAAAAAATACATGGTAGTTTGACCATGTTTCCCTCTTCCCCAGCTCTTCCCAGATCCTATCCACCACCTAATTTCATGTTCTTTCTTTCTCTTAAAAATCAAAACAAAAACAACAAACAAAAGCCACCGAGTTCATCTTGTATTGTAATACTCCATTGAAGAAAACAGGCTTTCCTTTTGGCAGCAGGTATCAACTAGCAATAGCTCCTTGGCTGTATTTTATTTTTATGTGTATGTATATGTGTGTGTGTGAGTTCATATGCACCATGAATGTGCACGTGTCCATGGAGGACAGAAGACAGCTTCAGACCCTTTGAAACTGGGGTCGCAGGCTGTCATGTGCCTCCGTGTGGATGCTGGGAACAGCATCGGGGTC